GGGGAAGTCCAATATCTTAGAAACAATAGGCTCATTTGCCAGTATAATAGTACAGAAATATCTGGCTTGATTCATCAATATTAAGGAAGACTGAAATTCAGTGTAGCTAATCAATCACAATGTGCCAACTTCAACCCTCAAGTGACTTGTATTTGGCTCAAAATCTGCAATGCATGTCATGTAAATTGTTTAAAAAACCCTTACTTGAATGACTCATACACAATTTAGGACTCACTTATTGTTTAACTGTACTGTTAAAGTCTTTTAACAGAGAGGAGATGGTGGGTGGTCAGTGTACTGTATTGTGAGTCAGGAGAGCAGGGTTCCATTCCCAGTTCTCCCACTGTGACCTTGCACATGTCAGCTGACTACTTTGTCTCTGTTTCCCCAGCTGTAAAAGGGGAATAAAGCCCTTTGAAATCTGCAGATGAAAAGTAATACATATGAGATATTTCTATGATTCTCAAACAAAAAAACTGCACTAATGGGCTTTTGTTCTTAATTAATAAAAGACTTACAAAATTAACCTTTTAGAATACTACACTCAGACCATTAATGCAGTAAAGTAGAAAAATCTTCCTGGACAAAATCTCACTTCAGACCTAATCCTGCAAGATGATCTGCACAGGCAGACCATTACACCTGTGCAGAGCCTTAGTGGCTTCAGCTTGGAGCACTGTTGATGTCAGTTGACATCTGTAGGGGGCTGGCAGTAGGTTTGGGGTGTTAAATACCATAGTGATAGGTGCTATACAAATGTTAGTAAATGCACATAGCTACTTTGAAGTTCAGAATATTGGATTTCCTAGCACCAATAAGTTAAATATGGTGAGTGCACAGTATTGTACAATGAAATTAGGAAAGTCTAACTTCTAAGGAATGGCATAATTGCTGAAAGGGCCATTTCAGGCAATTATACCCAGTTCAATGCAGCTACCTAAACCTATCAGGTAGGTCCGTAGCAATTAGGACAACTAAGCCACGAGGTCCAAATCAGACTGAAACCAAATTTTGAAATATTGACATTTTCTGCAAAGCAAAAATTCTGAGTTTTGCCCATCTGCTATCAGGTGATAGTGCTCTCTGTGTATGTACTTCTCCAGGAATCCCAGTGCTAGACAGACTTTTCCATGTGGGTTACAAAGACCACCTTGTGGCATGTATTTTCACAGTTTAAACACGGCAGTTGTGTCAAATAAAGCACTTGGTGACCATTTTAAATATGTATTTTGAGAAGCTTTAAAGATATTTTTCTCCATTTTTAAAAAAAGCTGCATAATATTAATTTGCTTAGCTGAACTGTAGGTGAATTATTGTAAAATGACAGTGATTGGATTAACATTTCTCACAGAAGAATAAAGATTTTCCTCTATAATAACCTGTAATCTCTCCGGGCCCAATAACTTGCTTAAATATCTTGAACTCTTCCTTTTCTAATAGCTAATATAGGATATATTTATTATTCATCTGAGAAATTGTACTTGTAGTATATCGATTTTACATACTTACAATTTAAAAATTATTCTTGTAATACATTGTCTTGATTGCAAAATAGAACTAGTTTTAACAGCTCTAAGATACTCACATGCCATGTAGAATTATATTACAGTACGTAGTTTTACTTGTATATGTAAACTCCTATAATGACCTGTCAAACACTTTTTATTTACTTTTACAATAAACTGATCCAATATTCACAAAGCATTAAACCATTGTCCTCTGTAACCCCTTTCCCTTTCAAATAAAATCCCACAGAAAAGAGTCTAAGGCTATGTTTACATTGGTAACGCTACAGCAGCACAAATGCTCCACCGTAGTGTTTCATTGAGACACTGCCTATGCTGATGGGAGGGGTTCTCCTGTTGGTGGAGTTAATCCACCTCCCTGAAAGATGCTAGCTAGGTCAATGGAATAACTTAGTACGATCTACATGGGGACTTAGGTTGGCTTAACTATGTCACCCTTGGGTGTGGCTTATGTGACCAACATAGTTAAACCAACCTTATTTTCTAGTGTAGACCAGGTTGTATTCAGGTAAGTTTGTGCAGCTCTCTGAATTGCAAATATACCACAGTGAGGCATGGCTGGATGGGAATGAAATTGGTAAGTGGGCCCTACAACTCCTGCTCAGGTCACTGAGCCACAAGACATTGTCACTCAGCCCCAGTCATACCCACAGGGCTGATATCCTTCATATCCTGTGTGTCCCTCTCCTTCTTTAGCACTGGCAGCATAGCTGGCTCACATGCCATGCTGCTATAGACACCTTTAATGTTGTCCCCATTAAATGTGGAGGTGGAGCGGATGTTATAGCTGAAGAGGGGGGAGTTTATGCTGATGGATGTGCTCTATATGAAGTGGAACATACCATGTAACATGGGTACTCCTTGACTCTGTCCATCACTTTCTCTCCTGTCAGCTATGCCCATAGATTTCCCACTAACTCTATGTGGATCCTGTGATCTGCCCATCATTCCCACTTTGAAGTCCTGAGCTAACACAGGCTTTGAGTTGTGAGGGAACTAAGGGAGGGTCATGGTTGCATCGCTCTTTATGCCCTCTTACGGGGGCACGAGGAGGCACAGAGTGCATTTGCTGCCCTGCCACACACTGCTACACAAAAGATGCTGAGCTTGCATGCATGGGGCACATGGGCACCTACTGTGAGATCCACATTCACTGCCACATCTCAAAGGGTTGCTGTTGGGTTACTAACTGTTTTTTTAACAATAGGAACAAAGCATTTTGAAAAAAGGATTTTAAAACAGTCTACATGCATGTCTTCTTACCTAAAGGCTTACCAACCTGACAGTAGCATAGGCAGGTCTAGTTTCTTCAAACACTCCAGCAGGTCCTGGGTGTCATTCCAGGGGTGCTGGAACAGTTTTTATAGCGGGGGTACTGAGAGTCATTGTAAGCCCTGTATATAATGGAAGCCACTTCAAGCCAGGGGGTGCTGCAGCACCCCCCATGCCCCTAGTTGCAGCACCTATGTGTCATTCTGCTTTTGCCAAACAGTTCCCCAACAACTTCCTTCTCTCTGGAGAATGAGTCCTTCTAACCCAGCCAGAGTTCCTTTGTTCTTGTCAGTTCCCAGGCTTTTGGCACTGCTAGTCCAAGCAAGCTCTGTAGATATGGTGCATGTCTATGCTGCATTTGCGTGTCTGGTAAAACCAGAGGGGAAACTCTCCCCTATAAGATAACCTATAGCCTAGGACAGTGGTTCTCACACTTTTGTACTGATGACCCCTTTCACAAAGCGAGCCTCTGAGTGCGACCCCCCCCCCTTATAAATTAAAAACATTTTTAAAAAATATATTTAACACCATTATAAATGCTTGAGGCAAAGTGGGCTTTGGGGTGGAGGCTGATAGCTCGTGATCTCCCATGTAATAACCTTGTGACCCCATGAGGAGTCCTGACCCCCAGGTTGAAAACCCCTGGCCTAGGGCAATGTGCACTGAGCTGCAAGCCAGGAGAGCATGAATTCTACTCTTTCACTGACTGCTGTTAATATTTCTGTTGTTAACTTCTTGTTAACCAAGGCTTCATATTCCTACCTTAGAGGGAGGTAACTAATATTCACTCATTTTACAGATAAGGTAAGTGAGGAATTGCACAAGGTCACTTCAGGCTGAGAGGGAATGCTGAGACTGTCACAGTGATATGTTTACTTAAATTCTAACCATTTTAAAATTTTGCTAACTATATTTCATAACTTTCTTATTTCCAGCTCTTGCCATTACATCAAGCAAGTGAGCACAGGAATATGTTTTAATGTGAGATGTTATCTTATAAGTATCTGTACAGCATATTTTTTATAATTCTGTTGGATATTATAGCTACTTACAGTCTCCGTTTTCCCTTCTCCATATGGGATTTGTTTCCCCACAGTACTTCCTCTTACTTCTCACATCAGCATCTAGAAACACTGTATTAACAATGTGGTTGTGGTTCTTGAGATTGCCTGTCAACATCACTTAGTGTGTCATAAATAGTAGGATGAATGTGTTGTTCCCTGGGAATGCTGATAATCCTCTTCACCAAGTTCCAACAATCTTGAAGACACACAACTGAAACATTTATTTTAGCTTTTCTATAAATAAAGATGAAATAAAGTAATGGTGAAGGGTGAGTGTTGAACTGGTCTAAAACTATAAACCAGCCTTGATATGTGCTAAGAAAGAAACTGTTCAGTCTTTGGCAGTGTGTCCATTCCTCAGATCAGTACAATTACTTGTTAGGAGCAGAATTCATTTATACATTGTCCTTTTCAGTTCCTTATTTCATAAATAAAGCCAAACTTTTGCTCAAATTCCAAACATTTATAAAGTCAATGAAATATTTCACCATGAATCTAAACAAGGCTCCATGTTCTTTTTACACATATGTAATTGAAATGACCATGTAAAATAAGTCTCTAGCTAATCAGTGGTAACTGCAATCAGCCAAACTTTGGCTGATTCCCTTTGTACGCTTTTTATTTGATTTTTTCATTATGTTGAGCAACACCATAAATTATGCCAGTTATTGGACTGAGAAATTGTTGTTAATGCACTGATTTATTTATTGTGTTAATGGTCCATGGAAATCTGATTAGAGCCTTAAAACCACTGGGGCTGATTCACTGTTCCCCTGAACCTCTTGTATTTATTTATACCAGTACAAGCAGCACGCAAAATGATTCCAAATCAGTGGACTTGATATAAATGGCTATACAAGGTGCAGGGCAGATGTGAATCAGGCCCATTGACTGTTTTGGCTCTTTTCCCATCGATAGAGCCTGATTTTGCATTATCGAGCTCAATGGTAGCAGAGTCAGGGCTACAGTTTCAAAATTTCAGTTTTTATATTTGAGTAAGATGCCAATTCATGTTTCCTCATTGGCTTGTTGTGTTGCTAATTTGCCTCCTCTAACAGTTGAACCAGGTAACTATATTAATTGATTCTAATTAATTTAGAACCATATCTGAGTGTGTTTCTTTTTTCTCTTTTTGAAGCCTGAGATGGCTGCTGCACTGAAGCGCACAATAGAGGCTTTGATGGAGAGAGGAGCAGTTGTGAGGAACTTGGAAAACCTGGGAGAAAGATCACTGCCATATAAAATCTCCAAGCATAATCAAGATCACAGAAGAGGAGGGTATGGTCTATATCAGATCCCTTAAAATCCCTTCAATCTCTTAAAATGTAAACATTTATGGTGGCTGGTTTGGTCTTTTCTGTGGGTATCAGTTCAAATATGTAGGAGATGGGTAACCCGAGTAAGTATCCTATGACTATTGGCATATAACTTGTAAAGCACTATGAGTTCTAAGTATGTTTATCTTGTGCGAGTTAGTTTTTATTGTAAGTCCATCAACCACAGTGCTGCAAATAGTCTTGTTTCAAGTGTCTAAACAAGCTGTATTCTGATGGTGTGTCTATGCTACAGTTAAAAACCCTCGACTGACCCGTGCCAGCTGACTTGGGCTTGTGGGGCTCGGGCTGTTTAATTGCAGTGCAGATGTCTGGGCTCATGCTGGAGCCCAGACTCTAGGACCATGCTAGGTGGGAGGGTCCCAGAGCTCGGGCTGCAACCCGTGTCCCAACATCTACACTGCAGTTAAACAGACCCTTAGTTCGAGCCCCGTGAGCCCAAGTCAACTGGCACAGGACAGCCGTGGATGTCTGACTGCCGTGTAGACAAACCCTGAGAGATATCTTCCACAGTAAAGACTGTGCTTCCTCCTGGATGCGTAATTTTTTTCCCCAGAAGCCAGTGATAGGACTTCAACAACAACAGAATCTATTGACTGTAAATGAAATGCCAATACTAATTGGCGGTAGTGATTTTTTTTTTTTATTCTAACATGTCTGAACTGTTAGCTGCCATATGTGCCCTGTAAGACATACTTGTTTCCATAATGCTATTCTTTATTAAAGAGGACTATCTGTCTGCATAATTTGAGGGAAGTATAATAATGACTCGATTATTTTGGGGATAATTTTTGCAGAATGCATTTATGTGATATACTGCATTATTATGTTGAATATAAACTCTCTTCCTTGATGCAGTGAGAATGTAATGAAGATTTCATCCTTTTGATTGCTTAACCCTGTGCTTTGCTGCTGTTAAACTATTTGAGACTACCTCTGATATGGATGCTGCTTCTCTGAAAGGATTGAGAAATGTTGCTAGGCAACGAGTATTATATAGTGGCTGCATACAGTACTCAAAATAACATTAAGATACATTTTTCTTAATATTTTTCACATAAATATGTGAAATTTGATGGCCAGCCAATATGCAAACTAACCTTTGGATAGGCTGGGTACATGCAAAGGGAAAATCACGTACACTTTGAAAGATGCATGTTTAAGCTGCATAGCCTTTCTCAACTTCTTTCCCCACGTTTGACTCACAAATTCAGTCCCACTTCAGAAGACCTTTTTATTCTCCTGTGTAAAGTCAGAGAGGTGATCTCTGCCAGTTTGAGGGGGAGAAACAAAACCAGCAAACAATTCCTCCTCTCTCCCACTCAAACAAAACCTTGAAACCTCCATGAGGTGCATATTGCTAACCAAAGCAACAGCGCTGTATGACCATCATCTTCCTCCTCCCTTCCTTCTTGGTGTTTGTAATTATCACGCTCTGGCGCATTGCCTAATCCTGCAAGCCATTAGTCCAGTGTTTAGTCTCATTGTCTAAACATGAAAGTAACTGTTCACAGGATCTAGCAAATAAATTGTGGCCTCTTCAGCTCTGGGGCTGCATTTTCTGTCACTTGCCATACAATGTTTCTGGCGCTATATACAATTGCACACAAACAGCTATATTAAAAGACCATTGAAATTGCAAAGTCAAGCACCTAGAAGTAAGGAAATAACAGAATTAAGTTTGCCTGTGCAACCTTAATTTGTCTCCTGTCTCATTCAGTGCACAGGATGGACAGTGAACACTGAATGAGCAACTATTCAGTGTTAAGTTTTATTCCCATTGTTCAATATATGGCCGCAGACCTGATTTACTGCACACTATCCAAACCATTTTCTGAATGCAGAATTATTAATTTCCTTGTGGGTTTTCCCTATGGCACTCAACACTGTAGTATTTGAATGTTTCACAAATATTAATTTATCTTCACTCATCTCACAGGATGTTGTGGATGGTATTATCCCCATTTTACAAATGGGGAACTGAAACACAGATTAAGGTCAAAAGTATCTACTAATTTTGGGTGTCCAATTTGAGATGCCTAGGACCTGACTTTTCAGGGTATTTGCATTATATATTCAAGCACAGCTCCCATTGACGGCAGTTGGAGCTGTGAGCGGTCAACACTTCTGCAGATCAGATCCCAGGGTTAAGTCAGGCTTCCAAAAAAATGAGGAACACACGATTAGGGACCACCTGTGAAAAAGTTTGGTTCAAGTGACAAGCCCACCATGACGTAGGAATTCTGTGGCAGAGGTAGGGATAGAATCCAACTCTCCTGGGCACTGTTCGGTTGTCTTAACCATGAGATTTCCTGTTCTCTTCCTGCAATCCCCATTCATTACACACCTTTCAACTTCTGCAACAAATGAGTCAGGGGTCCTAATAAACAGCAGCCTCCTTTACTGCACAACCCAGATTCATCCCTAGAGCAGGTCCAGTCTGTGCACTGAATGAGGCAGGGGTCCTATGATATATGATCATGTAATTAAAGACTATCATAATGCATAGGCATATAAGCACAAGGAGGGACAAATTAAGGATGCACAGCAACCATAGAAGTTATCTACATGATGAGATAGTGTGCTGCAAGCCAGGGTAAGTGCGCTGCACTAGTGTGCCACATTCGAGTTGTGGCCATGGGCCTTGCTACTGTACACTAGAAGTTCCATAGTGCGTTTTGCTCCTTATCCCAGTCTAACCCCTTCCTAGTTGCTTGTCCCATTCTCCTTGCCCAGTTATGCCTCCTCACCCAAGCTGTTTGCTAGATCTGTCTTCCCCCTCTCCTCTGCTCCTGTTGCTCCCCCCCCCCCCACTGGTTCCTAGCCCCAGTCTCCTTGTCTAACCAACTCTGTCTTTCCCCCCATGAGCCAACCTGCTCATCCTTCTCACTTGTGTCACCAGCTCCCAGGGCCAGTCTCCCTGCCCAGCTAGTCCCAGTCTCAATTTCTGCCTGTCTCGCCCATCCTCTAGTCCTAGTAGTCTTGTCCCAATCTACTCCTTTCCCTCTTCCCTGTCCGACTTTTGTCTCCTCTGCATTAGAGTCAGACTGTTTACTCCTCCATGCTGCGTGGATGCCAGCAGTGGGGACATTGAGCACAGAAGGAGAGACAGGCTCCGTGCCCTCAATTCGAGTACCCAGCTCTTCACCCATGTGGTCCTGAACTGGAGCATGCTCAGTGGGGCTGGTACATGTGCAGTCACATGCAGGAGCTATGAGAGGCTCCAGCATGCTCAGTGCGGATGGAATCATCAGAGATTTTAGCTGTTGTACTCTAAGAAGTCTCTACTGAGCCAGTGCAAACAACAGTTTTTCAGACTTAACTTGGCCTCATTTGCTTGGATTTCATGGCAAAAGGCACATCCCTGCCAAATTCAAGTGCCTGCTCCAAAGCATGGGAGGCTAGAGCTGTTCAGAGAGAGGTTTCAAGAATTTTTTAACATGGACAAAACAACATATTTTTTTTCTTGGTCTTGTTAGAAGTGTCTGAATGGTTTTAGCTGAAATAAAATAAATAAATAACACAAACACACACAACAACCCTCAATTTGAGGCAGACACTGAGCATGTAAAATTTCAGCCCAAACGGTTTAAGTTTGAAAAGGTTGTGAGCAACTTAAAACAGGGTCTGTACAGTGAGTAGTGTTAGGCAACCTTAATAAAAGGCAGTGCTGTTCAAGCTGTGCCTATAATAAGCGGGAGTGTGTCCCTCGATGTCCCCATGTGCTGTGATTGTTCTTCTGTAGCAGATAGAGCTGTGCTGCAGTACTCATTTGTGGTGGATTATTGATGTGCCATCAGATATTTTCTGTGTTTAAGACCTTAGGTAACTCAGGTAATTAAGCAAATTCTAGGAATAGGAAATAAAAGCCAGTTCTTTATTCACCTTTTAAAATCACTTTGTTCCCTCCCTATAACACTTGTAAAGGTATTTAATTGTTTTATTTAAAATGGTACACAGCGTGAAAACCACAGTAGTTTATCAAAATATTACAGTGAGCTAAATCTACATCCAGCAACCTGTCTTTTATTAAAAAATCTTAAATTAATCTTCCCTTTAATAGGCACTTTTTGAATGCTGTTTAACTCTTCTGTCTCATGAACTTGGTTTTAAGTGTCACAGCTCCATCTCTCATTCTGCCAAAGCTGTTTATGAAGGAAACTAAAAGGCTACTATGAGTGGCGTAGGTCAGTGCTACTCAAAGTGGTGGTCTGTGGACCGGTGCCGGTCCATGAGCCATCGACTGCTGGTCTGGGCGCACATTGGAAAAAAAAATTGCCAGTCCCCCACATCAGATAGCTTGAGAAGCATTGGTGTAGGTGGTATTATGTCTAGTAAGAAGAGACGGATAGGACAGAATTCTGAATCTTTCGAAGCCTTGCGTGGCGGTTTTATGTGACTCTTGGTAAAGCTAATCGTTCAATTGATTGCTTCCCTTTGTTTCCAGATGCTTGTGGGCTTGGGATGTATGCTGAATCCACTCACCTTTGGCCTCCTGGCTGGTAAACAGTGTGAGAACTCCGACAGTAAAACATTCATAGTGTAGGCCACATTTTAGCAGAGATTTTCCATGGGAAACAGTCTCCTCCCAGTGACCATCATATGAACCACCTGCCTTCCAGTTATAGAGGCATAACGTCCCTGTGCCAGCTACGGGGAGTGTTTACATGAAAAAGTAACATTAGGAAATTATATAATGGGTTTTCGCTTGTCTCGAGTGTTTTTTTTTTTTTTCTAGTAGGGTAAAACAGTAATTATACTGTCTGCTTTTGCTCTTTGCTTCAGCTCCCCCTCCTACCCATTTTGTTTTTCTCAATTGGAAATATTGTAGAGAGCCAGCACAGGGCGACCCTGCTAGCTCTGAACAATCCCACCAAAAAGTGCTCTATGGTCCACAGACCATAGTTGGAGCCCTCTCTGTTTTACTGAATATTCTTTTTCCAT